TACTTGGGTTCTTGTCTTTGTGTGTGTGTGTGTGTCTGTGTGTGTGTCTGTGTCTGTGTGTGTTTGTGTGTGTTGTGTTGTGTCTGTTGTACTTGATTTTGCATAACTCTTGAAAATGTCATGTTATACAGTTTACTCTAATTCCAAAGGATTAAATTAATATGGTAAATGTCATTATCTCATCAAGATTCTAATTTAAGTGGACACACAACCAATGCTAGCCTCTTCTGACAAGTGCTTCCACACACTGCATGGAAGCATCCTTGAAAGGGTTGCAGTTAATCTGTTTTACACTAAATTTACCTCAAGAGGCAGCTCCCACATACTTACTGGCCTTCACCTGTCACTAAATGTCGAAAGAGGAGAATTGTTTCTTGTTCTGGCACTGTAGAGTTACCCTACTCTGTTTATTTCTCAAGATGTTTGAGAGAACTGGATTCCCCACATCCCCACAGGTGGGTTTGCCATACTCCCCACCTCTAAAGGCACCTTCTTATCCCAAACTGACCCTCCCATCCATGGAGCTACAGCCCTGCCCGGAGTTAACCACATCAGAATGAGGAGCCCTCTACTGAGGTGTGGGTGGGGTTTGTCTTTGTGACAAAATATTTAAGATGCATAAAAATATATTTAAAATAAGGTTGTAACCTGATGTACCATCAAGTAAGTTCCCCAACTTCCTTTTCAGTACCCAGCATTCCGTGTGAGAAATGTGTCCACATGGATGTTGTGGCACCAGTTCACTGAATTCTCACTGATTTATTAATAGTTCTTATTGTTTTCTATGTTTGAGCATGCTGCTAGGAGCATTCTTCTGTGTATGTATTTATATGTACCTGTCTTCATAGATACCCTTACATGTGTGTGTCTGTGTAGCCTGTAAATTTATCAAGAATATGTACCTACTGTGGAAATTCTGGATCAAAAGAAGGTATATTTAATTTTATTAATATTTCCAAGTATGTCTCCAACATGACCATTCTAATTTACCTTCTGGCCAGAAATATGTGAGTGTACATTCTAACCTAATCTTTCCATTTTAGACTGAGGACTATAGAATTGTATTTCAATGTGATATTAATATAACTAATAATAATTATCTGATAACTGATGAGTTGTGTGTATATCCATACTTCTATTGGCTATTTAAATCTCTCCTATAATTATCCTGATTATACATTTTGTGAATTTTTCATGTGGGGCAGTTTACAGAAATTACTTAAATGTACTGGATACTAATTCTTTGACCTTTATATGTGTTTCAAATAAATTTACCTGAGTAAAATTTTAGTCATTATCAGGTCTTTTCTCTTTCATAATATTGGTGTTTTTAAGTTAGATATCATTGAATTTTCTATGTTTTATGTTTTATGCACTCAGGTCTTATTTAGATTTTTTACTGTGTAGCCAGGGGGAAGGTATTCTGCTGTGTTTCACTCTCACAGCTTCACAATTTAAGTCTTTAATCCATTTGGAATTGATACAATGAGAAGTAGAAACACAGTGTAAGTCATTCATGTACATAAACAATTTAGCACCACGTTTATGGGGCCATTTGCATTATTGCCTGTGCTGCTGTTCTCATACTTCAAGCTTCAGTGACTTGTGGGCCTGTTTCTGGTCTTTCTCACAGTTCCATTGACCTGCTTGTCTCTCCTCACACCAGTACCACACTGTCTTTATTATTGTTGCTTTATAATATGTTCTGATTTCTAATAAGACAAATTCTCCCTTTTTAACCATTGAAATTCTCTTAGCTATGTTTAGCTCTTTTCTCTTCCATATAAGTTTTATAAGCTTATGAAGGTGAACATGAAATTCACTCAAGCATTTCACTGAAATTACACTGAACTTGTAAATTAATATGAGGGGAAACATCACGTTGGTACAACTTGTTCATGACTGCTGCTGGAGAATACCTTGTCCCTGTTCCTGATGTTTCTCTCCTGCAAATGGAGCTCAATCTGTGTAATCATGGCCACCCTGTCCCCATTTTATTCACTTGGTTCCTAGAAAGGTGGAGGGGCTTATCAGGTTCATAAATCTGAGAACAACCTGGCGTGCCCTGCTCTGCCCTCACCCTCAGGAGCAGCCAGGCTGCTGAAGCCCATGGACCCCTACATTTCAGAGGTGCTTCCCCACAATGTGCAAGAGGGCTGCCCCATCACTGCCACCAAGATTGAGTGGATAAGCCTGTCTGCTTATGGTGTTCATTGGAAGCAAGCAACTTGACTAATAACCTTGAAGTCTTCCCCCAGGTGTCTGAAGGTGATTTAATGGTCTCCATATCTTTTATTTCTCAACTTGTTCAAATCCGGGAAAAAGAAGAAAATAGCTATTCATTTGGAGCCTCTTTGAGACCCTAGCAATTGTTTGTTTATGAATGGATGGGTTGATTGTTGAATATGTATTTTATTGACCACTGATTGCATCTATTTTTACAAGTGAAATGGTTCTAATATTCTTTTCTCAAACTTTACTTAATTAGGAATCAAGGTTACATTAGCTTCATGAAATGTAGAATGTTTTCTTTTGTGACTTACAGGAAAAGATTGTTTGATATTAGAATTATTTGTTCCAAAAATGTTTGGTAAAAGGTTCTTATGTCTAGTGTGTGTGTGTAAATTTTTAAATAAAAAGTCAAGTCAGTTAATGTTTTAAAAATCGTTAAATATTTTGCATATATACTGGCAGAGACACACACAGTGACTACTATCACTCTCCTGTTGCTTGCTATTTTAAAATAAATATTGAGAAAATGCAACTAAAATTTATCAAATTATACATATGATATAAATGCGATGATGTCAGTAACCTAAGATGAAAAAAAATATATTATTGCTTTTTACTATCTTGGAGAAATGAACTAAGGAATGAAATTAATTTTTCAAAAAAAAGTCAAATAATGATAGTTATTTTAAATTTAAGGATTACTGTTCTATAAAGTATGTAGGCAAAATTAAAAGGTGATAAAATTGAGGGAAATTTGTTAAGTAAGAAACTGACAAGGTATTCAAATCTTGGATAAACAGAGAATGTCTAAAATCAACTCAATACAAACATCCACAAAAAAATATAAACAGGCAATTTACCAAAAACAAAATTAGTATCCCAAAATTCTAAGAACATTAGACAATGATCAAATTTACTTGCCATTAAAGGGAAAGAAAATAAATAAAAAATATATAGCAATTTACACCTATTTTTCCTGGCAAAAAATGCTAGTAATGCTAGGAAAATACCAGTGATCACTGGAAAGTGACAGCATGGGAACCCCCATGCACACATTGTAGAGGTGTAGATGGTGTATTCATCACGAAGAGTGATCTGGAAAAAATGTGGTCAAGTTAAATGTGTGCACACCTCCAGACTCAAAAATGTTCTCCCTAGGAATATACCCTAGAAAAATTTAATGCTGGGTTCTTTGTAGTGGGAAAATGTTGTAGGCAATCTGCTGCCCATCACTAGGGAAGTACATAGGTACTTATGATGGATGG